TTTTATAATTATGTAATCAGTATCACTCTTACCGATTGTTATATAACATATGTTGAATTGCAATTTTAAAATAACATATGTCATTTCGATATTAACATGGATTGTGAAGTGACATATAACATTAGCGCTATCTTGAGCGTTTATATGAATAAGCCACCAAGCCACTATCAATTGCCTATTTAGTATAACTAATTGAATATTCCCATTATGACTACCCAAAAGAAAAACTATATACAAGAAGAACAATAAGACTAAATAAAGACTAAAGTAAAGAAATAGATAAAATAGAATAAAATAAATAAAATAAAATAAATAGACTAAAAATAAACAAAAAAATAATTTGGTACACTGGATCAGGTCCTGTCAATTTTTTTATGTAGGTTCGATATCAAAAAATAGAAATGAAGAAATTTCACCAAATTGGACCATAATTTTTTTTCAGCGATATAAATTTTATTTCTGAATTTCATTCTTTTTTGCTAATAACAACATAATCAATGTAAATTTCATATTGAGCATGGTGGTTATACAATAAGATACCTAAACTAATTAATACTAAAATGAAATATCAAATATTTATAACAAGTAGGTAAGTACATCATTAAAATAGATGCATGCACCACAACCAAGAATAATATATTCGTTCCATTGCATTTTGTACTATTGCACTACATTAAAACTGCACCTACGGCCCAATGACCAAGATAGGGCGCTTTTGAGGGGCGATCTGCCCTTGGTGCTATAGCTACAACTGAGTCAATGCCAGGATTTGGATTTGTATCGAAGGGTGATGCTTCAAAAGGAATTGAAATTAATACAAATTCAGTGTTTGGACAATATGGTTGAACATATAAAATCTTATTTAATGCGTTATCACGATCATTAGTTTTGTTGAATGTTACTTGTAATATTCACCAAATTAAAAAGATCATTAATAATCACACATTTCTAGAATAATTATTATCTCAATCCATAATAAAGGAGGTGGAGACGAATTGATAATAGGTGTAATCCTTTGATGATGTGTTGGTCGTGTGTTCCATCCTCCTATGTCAGATCTAAATTCATTATGATTAACTACTAATACCACATCACTCTGCACCCACCAACCTGGAAGTTGTTGACGAAGCGAAACATTCAATGCGAAATGTATTTCTTCTTTTATTCCAGCATTAAACTGAGTGAATAGCACAAATATCAGAAAATAAAAGTTATATAATTGTAAGACAAAAATGCTCACTTTGATGAACAGTTTATCATCAACCCTTTCAGCTTGGAAAATGTTGTGAATAGCTTCAAGAACTTTCTCTCGTCTTTTGGCTTTAATGGGTGGCAAATCTATTTCTACAATATCTAAATCTAAACCATCCTCAGAAATCTTTTCCTTCGCAAGTTTAAGCTCCTCTTCTATTTGATTAATGGCCTGAAAATAATGAATTGCTAGTTATAATTCATTCGCTATATTTTCAAGTAATATTTAAATACCTTTGTCTCTTCACTTTTCATGAAATTTTGAATTATACTTTTTAGAGATAATCTTTTGACTATACTCTATACGAATTTTTATAACGTTAGTGGAAATAAATGGTTAAAGTTGCTAATCAATAGCAAGAGAACAAGAATAGTACTTGTCTGTTTAAACAATTACTACTACTACTGGATTCATTCTCATTTCCTGAAAATGTGGTTGCCATGATTAGATAGTCGGAAAACAAAAATTCACAGGATCGGTAACTTCTTTATACACTTCATAGGATAACATGTGATCATTGACCAGATTATTCACTTACTACCGTAAATTGCCACATAAACTATCCTCTTTATAGAAGACCCCTTCTAGTAGACCTGGTCTGTTACTTGGATTCAAAAAAGTATAACATGTAGTCACGTATTATACTTATATTATATACCCGGCTGAGGGTTGCTTAATTTTAATTGGTCAATTATCTTCAACCGCACCCTCATAGTAGATATAGACTCTCATCCGTACAGCAGACCCCTGGGTCTGAATCAAATTTCACACAGGTTTAAAGACCTGGGGTGGTTTATGTGGCAATTTATGGTACCATAAAAAATCATATACAAGATCCCCTATATATCAGACCCACCCTCACTTTACTAATTATTTTCTTTTTTTACTGCAGTAATTAATTTTTTTGGTGGAATGTAAGAAACCTGAGTCTTGTATATGAACTTTTACAGTACTGTAATAATCAAAAAACAATCGCATTATAATCAATTAGTCAAAGTCAAAAATTTGCTACAGTATTATAACAGAAAAAACAGTATTAGGTATAGTCCTTTGGACGATTATTTTCTATTTTATTTATTGGGTCAGTAACTTTCATTTTATACCACTAATAATATCTTTACTGAATATCGGGAATGTTATAATAAATTTACATTTTATAACTCTTACACTCATTTAGTTTAATAGGATGATATATAGAATAATGGGAAAATCGGGTACGTATTTATTAAATATCACTTAAAATTAATCACATCGTACAAA